ACCGTGACCAAGGCTTCTTTATCTTCATAACTCCAGTATGCCTGTGTTAATGGTGCTTAATGGACAAGTGAGTGGATGAATGATTCCTAGTCAGCGCTTTGCCTCTGCTCTGCAGGGTTTACGTTTCCCAGCCTCTTTCCCTCAGCACCGTATGTCTGGTTACCACGTTTTCTCTGCCACCAACCCGGAGACCTCGTGGCTCACCACTGTCTCTCCGTTATGCCGCACCTCAGCTCAGCTCGTCCGCCGGTCAGGGCGCACGCGTGGTTACCACTGGCCGTCACCTCTGTGGTGCGCCCCGCTTCACACAGTGAGATCCCTGCCTACTTACTTGTGGGAAGATGGTTCTCATAGGAAAAGCAGAACGTCTCTGTGGCCTTTATCCGCTTCTCCATTTCCAAAGCTTCCTCCCCACCAGTTCCATGAGCAAGGGCACTACGCTTCACCACGGATTAATGCAACAAGCATTTTTTTTATTTTCCACCTGGGGCTGTGTGTGAAGCACACTAACACACATCGAGTTTCTTTCCTTTCTAACCAAAAAGATATTTATGTTTTCTTCTTTTCTAGTCCTCACCTGAGGGTATGTTTATTGATTTGGGGAGGGAAGAAGAGGGAGAGATAGAGACACCAACGTGAGAGAGAAACATCAATCGGCTGCCTCCCACAGGTGCCCCGACTGGGGATCAATCCCTCAACCCAGGCATGTACCCTGAAGAGAGGAATCGAACCCGCAACATTTTGATGTACAGGGTCACGATTCACCCAACTGAGCCACCCAGCCAGGGCAGAAAGATGTTTTTTTATCCTTTCTTGTATTTCTCCTGTGCATTGAAAAACACAGTGATTTTCAATTTTGTAGCATTAAAGCTCTTCAAATGAAATGTTGTATGGAATATTAATAAATAAAATAGAAGAAACAAATATTTATATATATATTATTTGACAATTCTAATTTATAATATACAGCTAATGAAAACAATGGGATTGTCATGATGAATATGAAAATTTGAAATTGAGGGTTTGGGATGACAGTTGCAGCCTCATAGCATCCTCAATCCTAATACGTCCCTGTATTCTGTATGTTGGCTGGACAGACCTTGAGAAAACTGTGACAGCTAGACATTGGAAGTGGTAGCTCTTTCAACAGGATACCTGGCAGCTTCAGGTTACTCGGACTAAACTGACCCAGAAACTTGAAAGAGGAATATAGCAAAATGCGGTTAAAGTCGACTCACTAACGCTATGTAACTCTCTGCATTCCTTAATTATAAAGCATCTAATTAAAAGGATTGCATGAACAGGTTCTTCAACCAAGTTATTGCTTTATTTCACAGAAAACGCTTCCCAAAAAATGTATTCGCCATTATGAGTTGTTAATTATGTCATTGAAATTATTTTCAGAAACTTTAGTGCCTGTTTCTCTCTAATCATCACTTAAAACCTTTAACACAGTAAAAATTTCTGACATGTCAAGTCGAAACTCATCATCACGCTTTATGGACTGTAGGAGGGGTGGTAACGGCGGGGCCCTGCATTCCTGAGTCGGTCTTGCTTGGAATTTTAAACTCCACACTCATTGTTTTATGAACTAGTAAATGAACGAGCAAAGTGCAAGAGTGGGGGAAGGAGAGGCTGGGGACACAAAGCAGGGAGTGCCACCAAGCGCTCTAAGGATAAAATGGGCACAAAAGCTACCAATATACTCAGTCATCATGCCACCTATTATGCGGTCATTTACTACCGTGCAGTTTATTATTGTATCTTTACACGGCACAGGGATCCTGAGCCTTGCCTGGCATTCGGTAGAGCGTGGCACATGGGAGCCAGGGTGGTGGGCGTGTGTTTGATTCTGCAGTTTCACAGCATGAGAAGACTTGTATGGGTCTGCATTGTTAAAAGACACTTTTGGAACTACAGCTTTCCTAATGAATGCCATACCTACATGTGTTCAAACATATTCATGGCTTTGGCAAGAGAACCTCTGTTTTGCAGTAGGTGTGACTGTATGAACCTGTAGTTGATGGGGTCCATGATTGTTCACATTTGACACATCACACACTTGAGTGTGTCTGTCTACAGTTAAAAAATTGTTTTGATGTTACTTATATCTAACATTTGTAGACCCCTTGAAACAAATAGGTTGAACTCCGTTGTGTTAGTGTAAGGGGTGAGGCAACTGTGATTTCAGGGAAGCTGCGGAGCTGGCTGGCTGGGCCTCCCTGGTAGGACCAGAGAAACGTCTGTCCAGCTCAGGGCTTTCGCATCCCGGGTGCTCAGCTGTTTGTGTGTGAATTGAGTAGAACTGGCTCAGGGCAGGTCCTGTGCGGCTGTGGGACTAGCACCCTCTGCTGAGGAGCCATCAGGAAGGTCTCAGGTAGAAGCTTCTTGCCTCCCCAAGGAGCCACACAGGTCCCACCAAGGAGAGCTGGTACCCTGCTAACCTAGAATTTCTTTTTCTTCTGGCTCCATTAGGGACTTCCCTGGGCTTCGGAGCCCCCAAATTCAGGGTTTTTGATCCACCCTTCTGACTTCCTCAGGGGTCCTGTGCTTATGCTCTGGTTTTTATCATTGTAATAGACTTAGAAGTCAGCCTGGGACTTGTAGGGCAAAACAGAAAAGCATCTGATGGCCTGGAATGCTTCTTGTTCCCATGTGCGTGTACCTCGGTTGGGCATTATTTCTGTGAGCGTACATTTGCAGATGCCTTAGATATGCTGGACTTGGGAGGCCTCCCTGGTGCTAGACTGAAGTCTTTGCTTAAATACCGGTTAGGAATAAAATGGCAAGTGAATCGTCTTTTTAATGGCCTTGGTTAAGGGTCCATAAGTCTACCAGCATGTCCTGCCCTACTTGGAATTCTAAAGAGAAAAATCCACACAGGATGTGGTCAAAATTATTCAAGCACTTGTTGGTGTAACCAACAGGGCTAACATTCTTTTCATGCCCAGTGTGGTATGAAGGCTGTGATTCTGTCTGACCGCTTCCTGCCGGTCTCCATGACAGGTCCTTCTCCAGGCGACTGCAGCAGGCTGTGTTTCTCCAGGGTCCAGCCACGGGCCTTTTCCTTTGTATTTGGTGTTCTTTGTCGGGGTTACCTCGTTGATTTTCATACTTCAGAGAATGACTCTGCAATGCCTTAGTACGGATCTCAATATGGCTTCGATCTTCCTTTCCAAAGTTCTTCCCCAAAACTTCTTTGCATTTCTGTGTGTGTGTGTGTGTGTGTGTGTGTGTGTGATCAGCCCCAAGATTGTAGCTCTTAGTCTTTTAGCATATGGGGGTAAAGGGTGGGACAAGCTTCATCCTGGAAGCAGGTGTTGGTTTTCAATTGGCATCCTATTTTCTTCCTAGTGCCTTCCAGCTGGGTTGACTTCAGACATGGGAGGTCAAATGTTACTCAAGCACCCAGTGAATTAGACCAGCTGAGAATTGAACGTAGGGACTTTGCTGGGGCACAGCCCTTGCCCTCATCAGTCAGCTGCTCTGTTCCCTGGTGTAGCTACCTCTCTGTTCCCACCACACCACATTTCTAAGAAGCTGACCAAACTCAGGGTCCTGGGGTCTGCCTGTGTCTTCTCTATAAAGAAGAATCTGGTGATGTAAGGCCCTTATTCCCAAAGAGCTTGTAGACTAACACAAATATATAAAAACATGTGCTCTTACTATCTGCAAAACATTGCCACATGAGATTATGAGAGGCTAAAGGAGAGAGCAATTATATGGGGGTGTGACATGGATCTTGAAGGATGAGTAGGACCCAGAAATGCAGTCACGTAGAGAAGTACGTTTGGCAGAGAAAAACCCAGAGGTAGAGCCAGGTGGAAGCTGTATGGAGAACAGAGTGGCATCATTTGTCTGGACTTTGGGCTGCGCTGGAAAGGTTGAGACCCGTGAAGAGTCTTGATCTTCAGGCTCACCTTTAAATTTTACTCTGTAGGTGACAATATTAGAAGAGAGCTGTGGCATTATTAGAACACTGTTTCTGCATGCTCTGTCTGGCACCAGCATATGGTACTGGGGTGGGAGGGGAACAGGAAGGAGCTCCTGAGTCAGGTGAGTGGTAGTGGCGATGCGGAGTTTGAATGGACATGAGATATAATGTTCAGGACAAGAGAGAGGAAGAGTTTGTGATGATGCCCCATCTTCAAGCCTGAGTGATTGGGAAGCTCAGGATATTATGAATTCTGCAGAGAAAAGGGGAAGTGAGTTCATGGAGAGAATGAATTTCAGACACTGCTGGCTGGAGAGATCTTTGGGAAATCCAGGTAGAGTCTCCTGTCCTCCCCTCATCCAACCTCAGTGTTCTGGACTCCCCTTTCGAGTCATGAAAGTATGGCTCCCTGCCCTCCTCCTTCCAGCTAGGACCAGCCCCCACCTTATTGCTCAGGTTTATCTGACTTGAAGCAGTGAATCCTTGAGCCCTGACCCTCTGGGCATAGATATTAGCGCTCCACATGGGGCACCTTAAGGCTAGTCATGAGAACCTTGTCGCCTATCTCCAGTCTTGTGCTTTGCTTACAGGACCAGACTTTGCTTGTCTCTTCATATCCTCTTTCTGATGTTCTTACTCATAGAGGCCTTCCTGGGACAGAAACTCCTGCCCCCAGGCTCGCACCAGGGCTCTGCTACCCATGGACAGAACCCAGAGGCTGAAAGCTAGTCTGTGACTTCCTGGGTGTTCTGTCTGTTCCTCCAACCTGGGGGAGACATTATGGTTTCTACTCATTGATCATTTTAAGACCCATGGGGTTGGCTCAGCTCTTGTCTTCCAGGCCCAGTCTGCAGTGCCTGTACCATCCTCAGGGATGAGCCCTGGCCTTCTTATTCCCAGGTGCTACTTCAAGTTCAACACCAACACCTCACCAGTAATTCCCAAGGAAATGTCAGGTGTCCCATAGATGCACAGTAAACACTGCACCTTGCACTCACCTGGGACCTTTGATGAAAGCATCTCGCATCTTGCCTTCCAGGTTTTGATCATTCCTTCGGATTCTCACCCCTCCTGCCCCTTCCCAGATCGTTTTTCCACACTGGACGTGTGGCCTTCACACTGCACTGGAGGTCTTTGGACTGCGGTGCTGATGTTTCCTTCTTGGTTGTTTTTTGCTGCTGGTTGCACTGTGGTTCTCACGATGCCATCATCCGACTCCACGGGCGCTTCCTTTGTGTTTATGGTTTAGGGACTGTGGAAATAAACTGAAACTCGGGAGAGAGCTGGGAGCGTCCAGAGCCTTTGTGATTTAGTCCAACATCTTCAGCCACTTTCTTCTCATTCTGAAGACTTCACATAATTAGAACCATTCCTGGCCAACAGTAAATAAATTTTGCACATGCTGCTTGAATTACTGTGCAGTCTTGCCCCAGAGTGGCTTTCTCAGAGATTTAATATTTCACTGAAACTGTTCCTCTGGGTAGGCTGAAGCCAGCAGCTGTGGAAACTCAACATTTGCTTTACACAATGAAATTTTAGGACCAGGCTGCTTTTCACATTTCTCAGATATGCTGCTCATTTAGGGGAGGGGGGGCATTCTTGGCAGAGTCCTGCTGGCACGAGCCAAATATCCTAGCTTGTGTTTCTATGTATTTAGATATAAAGTAATGAGAAAATGTGGTTCAAAATGCCCATGACAGAACTTTGACCCACAGAAGTTAGAATTACCATTTACTGAGCACCTACTATGTAAGTGCAGAATATGTAAGTGCTAAGCATCTTACATCTTCTGCATCTTCACCCCACTGTGAGTGTGCCAGCCCTGGGTCTGTTTGCCTCTGGCCCCTGCTCTGCCCTGGAGGGCCGGGGCTGGCCTGGAGGCTGCCTTTCTCAGGCTCTGGGGTGCTCTGGCTTCCTTCTAGGTTTGGCCAGTGAAGGCACCAGTGGCAAGTTGGGGGTAAAGGAGAGGAGGAAGCCAGAGTACATCTTCCCTCTTCCTCTTCATCAAGCATCTCCTCCAATAGTGACTGCATCTCCATGGTTCCAGTTCCCACCGTTTGAATCCTCCAACGGTGATGCTGGCTCCTGGGTAACTCCATCTCCTCTCTTTGTTCCTTCAGCTGCCTGGAGGAATGAATGCTTATGGTTGCTCCCCTGTAGGTCACCTCATGGTCCCATCCTGTGTGACCTTACTCCCACTCATTCGTCTTTTTAAACTTATACCAAGTTGAGATCTTTAAACTCTGGCCTTTGTTGTCATTGCGGCAGTCTGTACATCTCAGCTTCTCCATCACCTTCATCCGTCCTTATCACTGCAGTCAGTTCCCTGCCTGACATTCCTTCTGATGCAAATACTTGAAGCAGTTTCTGTTTCTCTGCTTAGATGCTGATTGATGGGTTGGGGAGGAAATCGTGAGCCTTGTTTTAATGACAAGGAAACAGGGTTACTGACGTGTGCAGTCTTAAAATAGGAAATAGCGGACCTTGGTTTTAAGCTCGGGCCGCATCAGTCCTGAGGCTCGTACCCTTTCCCATACCCCAGCCTGCCTGCTTCTTGGGGCCGCATGAACCAAGTGTACTTTCTCCTGTTTCATCTCTTCATATTCCGGAAAGAGAAGACTCTCATAATCTCCCTCTCTGAGATTTCCCAAGGTGAAATGTTCTCTTCCCTTCCACTGTTCCTTATGAAAAAGAATTTCTCCTGACATTCTGGTTGAATCTTTTAGATTGATGCTTCTTAAACTTTAATGTGAAGACTATGATTTAGAATGACTCTGGAGATCATGCATAATTGCTTTTAATGAGACTTTTTGGAGAGAAGATGATTTCAGATTTACATGCATTTGCAAGAAATAATACACAGATCCTATGTTCCATTCAATCAGTTTCCCTAATGATAGCATCTTGCAAAATTATAGTATAATTGTACAAGCAAAACTTGACCTTGATATAGTCAAGATACGGAACTCGTCTATCATCGCAAAGATTCCTCTGCTGTCTTTTTATAGCTACACTCACTTCCCTTCTGACCCCGCTCTTCCCTTAACCCCTACTTTGTTACCAAATTAGAAACCACTAATTTCTCCCATTTCTATAGTTTTGACATTTCAAGAATAGTATACAAGTGAAATCATACAATATGCAACCTTTGGGATTGAGTTTTTTCACTCAGCATAATTTTCTAGAGATCTATTCATGTTTTTGCATGTGTTGAAGTATGTTCCTTTTTTTTCTTACTGAGTAGTGTACCATGGTATGGATGTACCACAGTTTGTTTAAACATTCACCCAGTGAAGGAAGTTTGGGTTGTTTCCAGTTCTTGGCTCTTACAAATAAAGCTGCTATAAATATCTCTGTGGGTTTTCGTATGACCATAAATCCTTATTTCTCTGGGACAAGTGCCCAGAAGTGCATTTGCTGGGTTGTAAGATAGATAATCCCACGTCTAGTTTTTTTTTTTTTTGAGAAAATGCCAAAGATTCTCAGAGAAGCAGTTTTATTTTACATTCCACCAGCAGTGAATGAATGATAGTTTCTGTACATCTTTGTCAACATTCATGCTGTTGGTTTTTAGCATAGCCATTTTGGTGTATGGGTAGTGGTATCTCATAGTGGTTTTAATTTGCGTTTTCCTGGTGACTGATGATGTTGACTGTCTTTTCATGTGCTTTTTTTGCTATGTATATATCTTCTGTGAACTGTTTCTTCATGACTTTGCTGCTGTGCTGAATGGATTGTTCACTTTTAAAAATAATTTACTTTTTAAAAATTTCACTTTTGATCTTAGAGACTGGAGATGGGAGGGAGAAAGAGGGAGAGGGAAACATTGATGCGAGAGAAACATCAGTTGCCTTCCGGGCGTGCTCTGACACAGGACCGAATGGCAACCCAGGTATATGCCCCAGCTGGGAATTGAACCACTGACCCTTCGGTTTGTGGGATGAATGATGGCCAATGAACTGAGCCACACTGGCCAGGGGATAGTTCACTTTTTTACTGTTGAATTTTGAAGGCTCTTTGTATATTCTAGATACAGGTCCCTTAAGTAAGTATATGATTTGCAAATACCAGAGAGGGCAAAAGCAGGTTTGCAGTTGTTTGTATAGAAAAGGCATTCAGATCATAATTATTGCAGTAGCTTTATTAACTCTGTGCTTCATGTGCTCACAATGATAAACCTACCTTCGCCCACCCCTCCATTTCTATGTCTTGTCTTTTTCATCCTTGTTAACACAGATGACATGGTTTTAATTTTGATGAAACCCAAATTATCCATTTTTCCTCTTTTACATTGCGATTTTGGTGTCAAGTCTAAGAACTCTTTGCCTAGTACTAGGTTCTAAAGATTTTTTCCTCAAAGTTTCATAGTTTTACATTTTGATCTGTGATCCATTCTGAGTTAAATTTTATACAAGGTTGAGGGCTTAGTTCCAGGCTCACTGTTTCACCTACGAATGCTCCAGCACCATCTGTTGAAAAGGCCGTCTTTCCTCCATTGAATTGCTTTTGCACCTTTGTCAAGAATCAGTTGGCCATATTCGTGTAGATCTATTTCTGGGTTCTGGGGTCTGTTCCATTGATCTATACATCTGTCTCTCTGCAGTAACACACAGTCCTGATTAATGTTGCTTAGTCGTAAGTCTTGAAACTGGGTGGACTCATTCCTCCCTTTTTGAAACTCGTTTTAACCCTTCTAGTTCCTTTGCACTCATATAAATTTTAGCATATCTTAACTATATCTACAAAAAAACCTTGCTGGTGTTTTTAATAGGAATTGTATTATACTCGTTTATCAGTTTGGAGAGAATTAGCATCTTTACTACGTTGAGGCTTTCAATCTGAAGACGTGGTATATCCCTTCATTTGTTTAGATCTTTCATTTCTCTCCACAGTGTTGTGTAGTGTTTAGTGTGCAAGTTCTGTGCTTGTTTTATTACAGAGATATCTGTATTTTGTTTTTTAGACAATTGTAAATGGTATTATATTTTAAATTTCACTGTCCATATGTTCTTTGCTAGTATGTAGAAGTAAACTTGATTTTTGTATGTTATGTTCACCTCATTGGTGACCTTGCTGAACTCACTAACTAGGGTTTTTTGGTTTGTTTTTGTTTCTGTAGATTCCTTGGGATGTTCTATGCTTACCACATGGCACCTGCAGACAGGCGCGGTTTTATTTCTTCCTTCTGACCTCCATCTGGTCATTTTTCTCAGGCTGCTTTCAAGATTTTTTTCTTTGTTTTTGATTTTCAGGAGTTTAATTATCTTGATTGTAATTTGCTCAGCTTCTTGAATCTGTAGCTTTATGTCTGTTGCCAAACTTGGGGATTTTACAGCCATGATTTCTTTAAAAAAATTCCTCACATAAGGATATGTTTATTGATTTTAGAGAGAGAGGAAGGGAGAGAGAGAGAGAAACATTGAACAGCTGCCTCCTGTACACGCCTCAGCTGGGATCAAACCCTCGCGGTAGGTGAGGTTTGCCAGTTCTTTCCTTTGTCCCTTCCATTCTGCTATTTGAGCCCATTTATTAGATTTTTACAAATTTTAGTTTTATTCTTTGTATCTTGTATTTCTTTGCTGGGACTTTTTATTTCTATGCTGAGGATTTCTTTTTTCCCCATTTGTTTTAAGCACATTCGGAATCACTCATTGAAGTGTTCGTATCATGGCTGCTTTGACATCTTTGTCAGATAACTCTAATATCTCTGTCATGTCTCGATTGGCTTCTCATTACCGCTGGGTGAGAATGGGCGTTCCAGACCCCACTAGAGGCAATGGCAGTGCTGACTCTGCAGGAGGTCCCCTCGGACACTACCTTAGCAGGGAGGGGGAGGGGCACCCAGTTCCTGCTGGGTGGGGATGGACGTCCAGGCTTCCCAGGTGGTCTCCACTGATACTGCTCATTACCAGCTGTCTGGGATGAAAGTCCCATATTCCTACGTGGCTTTTGCTGACACCAAGCCAGTATCTACCCCTTTGCTGCCCATCCCTTTGCTCCAGACATGCTGTATACTTTAATTCATGGTCTTCCTCCTCTCTCCAATGCCTTTCTTTACTCTGGGGACTTTGGGATGTCCCGTTATAGTCTCTCAAAGGTAAAAGCCTAGGCTCCTCACTCAGCCTTGGCTTGAGTTGGTGTAGGTGGGGCCACAGTTTTTTTTATGGGTTTGGCTGGTGAACAGTGGTTATCATCTTGCTCATCTGTTCCTCTCCTGGTCCTCTGTCTAGAGCGTAGGGGTTCATGATTGTTAACGTTGTGGTTTTGGTCAGCACCTGTTGGGTTGGGTTGAGTTGTCAAGGCTAACTCAGTAGTCCAGGTAAAGATATTCAAAACTAATGACTAGTTGTCTCAGCGCTGTGTGTCAAAAAGACTATCCTTTCGCTGTTGTATTGCCATATTCATTCTGTTCTAAAGCCTGTGTTTGGCCATCTTAGCCCCACTCATTTCAATCCTTGACTCTCACAGAATTCTGACAGAATTCATTTTAAAGAATTTGCCAGCTACCGTGCAAGCCAGCATGAATGAAAATGATACGAGATCCCCAACAGCCGAGACCTCGTAGTCTCCACCTCAGAACTCTTGCTAGAGGTGCCGGCCTGATGGTTCCGTCATGTCCCCTGACCAACAGATACTGTGGTAGATGGGCTGGATGTGAAGCCAGATGTTTGTGGGCCAAGGGGCTGAATGGCGGTAAAGAGATGGAGAGAGGAAATGTCAGTTTCTGTGAAGACGTATGTGAAGGGGAGGAGGGCAAGTGGCGGAGCTAGAATGGAGGCTGAGCAAAGGGAAGATCTTTAAGGATGAGGGAAATTAACAAGTTTGTTGTAGATGAGGAGTAGATAAGGCCAGGAGACTGAAAGAGAGATTCCTAGAGTGCTTGGAAAAGAGTAAGACAATGTTTGAAAGAAAAGGATAGGTAGGTGTACATATATGTATATCTATGTATATCTATACACACGTAAATGTATGTTTATAAATACATACATGTTTATGCATATATACACCTCTGTGTATACATGTACATATGTGATGTATA